CACACACACACACACACACACACACACACACACAGTACAGAGACAAGAGAGCTGTAAACATCATCCAGTCTTCAGTGGACATCACAAGACAAACAAACACACAATGACACTGAGGGGCAAAGAGGGAGCTTTAGAGAAGCCTCCAGCAGACATGTGTCCCGGTGGAGAATGTTAGGTGTGTGTGTGTGGCTCAGAAATGCCGGGGGAATTCACACTCTTCACAGCGGTTGAGGGCAGGGTGGTTGAGGAAGGTGCAGGCAGTGCAGCTCCACTGAACACCGTCGTCCTCCTCGGGCTCCGACACGAGCCTGGCGCTCCTGCTGCCCTCTGAAACACACACACACACACACACACACACACACACACCGTCAAAGCCTGCGCAGAGCACAGTCAGGAGGAAAGAGCTCAGCGACACACCCAGAGACGGGTCTCTCTTTAACGTCGAGAGAGCCTGTGGGATGCACACCTGACGAGCGCCACGACACAACAGACAGATCAAGCACAGAAAGAGAAGCACAGAGGAAGAAACTGACGATGCAGAGGTAGTGAAATAATGCTCTGGATGTTTCATGAAAAGAGCAGAAGCGTTCAGGGACAGAAAATCAAATGGAAAAGCAGCAGCAAAAATGTGCCAAGATCGTATTGAAAGTGTTGCGAGATTCAAACTGACCTTGTATCGCAGGACCTTTGAGAGGTTTAGGAGGAACAGGACCCAAGAATCCAAGGTTGTCATAAAAGTTATGAATTGCAATGGGATTGAAGTCTGGTCCTAAAAATCAGAAGAACAGCGGAGCACGAGATGAGCTGTGATTGTACGGTGTGTGCGTCAAGTTCTCAAAGTGTGGGAAAGGCCACTTTAACATGACTAATCGATGAATGCTGGTGTCTCGGCTTTAGAGAGATCATGATGACTGACTCACACACGTATGAACAGCTTCATTTAACCAGTCAGTCATAAAGATTCACTCGTGAGTTAGGAGTTTGAATCATTGTTAGGTTTGCCAGGTTGACAACCATCACTGCAAATGAAGACACTTTCGGGTAGGTCCAATTCAAACCCCTTACGTTTATGAGACTTACATTTACTTCGAGAAGCTAGTGTTTTTTTAAGAAAACAAGCAGTTAGTAAACGAATAGAGTGCAAGTCTAAAAGGGGCAAGTTTTTTTTAAAAGAATAGAATTAGGATAGAGAGTGCTAGAGTTAGAGGGTCAAATAAAGATGGAAGAGATGTGTTTTTAGCCGATTCTTGAAGATGGTGACTTACATAACTCTGATTACAGAATGGCTGTTCATATGCATTTGAAATACATAAAATCACAACAGTGTTTTGTGAATAAATGCATCATGTATTCAATAACTGATAAATATATACACACACACAACCGGTCAAAAGTTTGGGATCAGAATGATTTTTAATGTTTTTTTACAGGAGTCTCTTCTGCTCATCAAGGCTGCATTTATTTGATCAAAAATACAGGAAAAAACAGTAATATTGTGAAATATTATTATAATGTAAAACAGCTGTTTTCTATGTGAATATCTGTTAAACTGTAATTTATTCCTGTGATGCGCAGCTGTATTTTCAGCATCATTACTCCAGTCTTCAGTGTCACATGATCTTCAGAAATCATTCTAATATGCTGATTTGCTGCTCGAGAAACATTTCTGATTATTATCAATGTTGAAAACAGTTGTGCTGCACAATATTTTTGTGGAAACGGTGATATTTTTTTCAGGATTCTTTGAGGAATAAAGTTAAAAAGAACAGTGTTTATTTAAAATAGAAATCGTTTGTAACAATATACACTACCATTCAAAAGTCAGTTTATATATATTTTTTTCTTTCTTTCTTTTTGAAAGAAATGATTTTATTCAGCAGGGATGTGTTAAATTGATGACTAATAACAATAATAACGACTTATATTGTTAGAAAAGATTTCTATTTTGAATAAATGCTGTTCTTTTTTTAACTTTATTCATCAAATAATCCTGAAAAAAGTATCACAGGTTCCAAAGAAAGAAAGAAAGAAAGAAAGAAAATGAAGCAGCACAACTGTTTCCAATATTGATAATAAATCAGCATATCAGAATGATTTCTGAAGGATGCTGAAAATTCACAGAAATAAATTATATTTGAAAGTATATTAAAATAGAAAACCATTATTTTTAATGGCAATAATATTTTACAATATGGCTGTTTTTTTCTGTATTTTTGGTCAAATAAATGCAGCCTTGATGAACAGAAGTGACTTCTTTAAAACACATTGAAAATCTTACTGATCCCAAACTTTTGAACAGCAGTGTGAATGCATATATTTGAAACTCATCTAGAAAAACATGAATTTATATAACTAAAATCATTATAGTCTATATACTGAAACATTGCTTCAGCACCCCCCAGCAGTGACTGCACTACTCTGACCTTCGACTCGTTCCGTCATTTATCAACGAAACGTGATCTGTTTTACACCCCGTTTAGGAAACATTTTGACACCCCGTTTTCTGACCTGTAATGCCACACCCGCTTTATTTGAACACTTTTCAAAACGGTAGTGAGAGCAGAGTTTCCTGAAAGCTAGCAGTTTGGGTGCTGCAAACCCCAGAGAAAGCTAGCAGTTTGGGTGCTGCAAACCCCAGAGAAAGCAAGCGTAAGCTCTCTACAGACGAGGAAAAGCCGCTCACCTCGTGTCTGAAGGAGGTCAATCTCTTTGGTTAAACAATCAATATCGATCTGCAGAAGTCTATTCTTACACCTCAACTGCTGCATCTCCTCAATCTGAAAATAAGTAGAAATAAAGAAGTAAAAGTGAATTGTTGTTCTTTTACAATATGCAACAAATGTATTTATCAGTCTATGAAGTGTTTGTTACTTTGCATCAAGTCCATCACGATACTAGATACTAGATCTACACGATGTTATTGAAAAAAGACATGCTCTGACACAGTACGTGGATTAAATATTTCTCCTCAGTATATTGAAGAGAGTCGTAGTCAAACTGCTGTGAGAGCAAATACTGCGAGAGATGAGAAGTGCAGCGGTGCGGTGACTCACAGACGGGATCTGACAGACGGAGTTGGAGCGCTGCAGTCGTCTCCTCGTCAGGTCGTTCTCCATCTCATTGACTTCCTCTTTCAGCTTCTCCAGCTTTCTCTTCTTCTGCTCGAGTTCGTGCCACAGTCGCTGCATACGTGCTCTCTGATGCACCAGCAAAGCTGCAAGTTCACACGCACCGTCGTCAGACACCCAGTCGAGTTTCATGACTAAACTAATCACACACAAAACAACACTGCAGAACATCTGATCAACTAGACAGAACATGTGATAAAACAGCATTCCCATTCAGCATACACAACTCCCATAATGTGAAGTATCGGAGAAAACCAGATAAACGACAGACACATCAGGCAGGACATGAACTCGTGGACTGGACTGTATGATAAGGTGGTAAATGAGAGTTCACAGTGGACTGTGGAGGACTGCTAATGTTGCCAAATTACTGTGTATGCTATTAGATGCATTACTCGACCTACAATAATAAATTAAAACAATACCCATCACCATTCAACACTTGTATTTCCAATAGGACTTCTGACTTCATTCAGACAGCCTCTTATACACTAACGCACTGATCTATTTTCACATATCGGATATTTTGGTTACAACCTATTAAGGACATACTTTTTACAGATTTTACATAATATAAGTATTTTGTAAGTCCATCCGCATGAATGAGGACTCTTCAGAGAGCATGTGAGCAATTGAAAGCAATCGCCAGGGACTCATTCATCCAATACACACCGCATTCAAAACGGCATAAACAATGCATTATAATGCTATAACACAAAATGCTATATATTTAGGTGATAAATAATTACGCAGGAAATATTAAACACGTTTGTATTTTAACAGTAATATTGACAGTAGCAACAATGTAATCATGTGCCGGATAACAGAGAAAATAAACGGGCCAAACTACGCAAACACATGCACCTCATGATATAATCTTTCCAGTAAAGTGCTTGGGCTTCAGACTGGACAAGTGTCGCTCGAGGCAGATTCACTGGCTTCTTACTAGCATGGGACTGTTATTACCTGCGGTTATTATTAATACACTGTAATATTTACTGGCAGATGAACACACGGTCCAGGAAATGAAAACTACTCGGACGGGATTACAATGAGCTAGAAGTTTTGGTAATTACTACATTACCCCACCTCCCTATAAAACTAATCTCGTCAGAACAGGACTTTACACGCATTCACAAACGTGTCCAAATACATGTAATAATCTAGTGATGCCAGAACATGTATAAGCGCTGAGGGGTCTTTAAAGTAGTAAACACTGAAAACATGAATAACTCAAAACTTGGTTATTCAACAGACCAATATGAAGACTGGAAGCTAATTATATCATCTGAAGTGTCTGCTAGGAGCTTGTGAAATAATTGACAATGAAGTGTAACTGAAGAACTGTTAGAGTTAGGCGTCATATGGGCAAATATGTCATATAAGGCAAACACAACACTGTTCGTTACATTACACACACTCACTCTCACACTCACACAGACACAGACTCACACACTCACACAGACACAGACTCACACACTCACACAGACACCGACACAGACTCACACTCACAGACTCACTCACTCTCACACACAGACACAGACACACACTCTCACACACAGACTCTCACACACACACTCACTCTCACACAGACACACTCACACTCAGACTCACACACACACTCACACAGACACCGACACAGACTCACTCACTCTCACACACAGACACAGACTCACACTCAGACTCACTCACACAGACACACTCACACTCAGACTCACACACACACTCACACAGACAGACTCACACTCAGACTCACTCACACAGACACACTCACACTCAGACTCACACACACACTCACACAGACAGACTCACACTCAGACTCACTCACACAGACACACTCACACTCAGACTCACACACACACTCACACAGACACCGACACAGACTCACTCACTCTCACACACAGACACAGACTCACACTCAGACTCACACACACACTTACACTCACTCTCACACAGACAGACTCACACTCAGACTCACACACACACTCACACAGACACCGACACAGACTCACTCACTCTCACACACAGACACAGACTCACACTCAGACTCACTCACTCTCACACAGACACAGACTCACACTCACAGACTCACTCACTCTCACACAGACACAGACTCACACTCAAACTCACACACACACTCACACACTCTCTCACACAGACTCTCACTCTCACACAGACACAGACTCGCACTCAGACTCACACACACTCACTCTCACACACACACTCACACAGACACCGACACAGACTCACACTCACACTCACTCACTCTCTCTCACACAGACTCTCACACACACACTCAGACTCACACACACTCACTCTCACACTCACACAGACACCGACACAGACTCACACTCACACTCACACACTCACTCACTCACAGACTCTCACTCTCACACACACACACACACACACACATACTCACACACACAGACAGACACTCACACACTCTCACACCTTGGTTTTCATCTCCAGGCGGATGTTAACAACAGAGTACTCCGTTTACGACTGCAGTTTTTGTGAGCATGTCTGGGTTCACAGTTTTATAAGGTTTTACAACAAACACAAAATATAAAGCATGCCTTACACTCAGGTAGGCTGTGTTCTATATGGGACACAACACTTCTGACATTATTCTCAACATTAGCTAATATACAGAGAAAGAGGTGAAAGTAGAAGAGAGATTATTTGCTGTAACAGATGTTAACACAATCACATTTTCTTCTATGAGCAGATCAGATGGACCATGTGTCTATTTTAGGTACTTATTAGCTTTAGTGTCTAGCAACCTAAAAAACTAAAGGATCAAAGAAGGCAAATATCTGAAATAGCCTAGGCTAGTGGTGCAGACCGCTCTAGTGTAGAACTCTTAAATATATATCTTAAAATGTAACAATATCCAAAAAAAAGATAATGCAATGATTATTAAAAATTAAAAAAATTTAATAAGTATTAAATCCGAATGGAAGGCATGGTGAACCGCAATCAGCAAAGCATTTACAGGAGTGATCTGTGTCCTCCCTGATGAACGTACCTTGTGTGTAGGCAGCGTCGTCTGCACCCATGCTGAGTCTGCGCGGCTCCGAGCTTGTGTCCCGCTGAGGTGAGAGCGGGTCAGACTGGTTCAACGGATCCGGCTCTGCGTAATGGTGATCTCCTGGGAGACTGAGCAGGTTAGTCGGCTCGAACGTGGGCGACACCACTCCAGGAGACACAGCCGGAGGTTTGTTGGGGGAGACAGTGATTTTGAAGGTGTATTTGGTGTTGGGCTGCGTGACCACCACACGAGGAGACGTGGCCGTGCCTCCGGCTCCCACCGAGGGACGGGATTTGGGCGGGTGGTGGTGTATGTACGCAGGGCCCATGCTCACCTGGCTTCCTGAAGCCCGCAGACCCGCGGGAGACTGGAGCGCCGGATTGGCTGAGATATAGACCGTCGGCGGGTTCCTCGCCCCTCCGTCTTCTGCAGATGTGTTTGCAGAGATATAGAACTTGGGCTGTGAGCGAGGCACAACGGCACAGTCGTCTGCCGAGGTGGAGGCAGCAGCGGGTGGGGAAGCAGAGATGTACACCGTGGGCTGGCTGCGACTCAGCCCCGCACCTCCTATCGAGATGGGAGCGGAGGGACCTGTGCTGGCAGCCAGCGACGATGACGACGGACAGGACGAAGACGCGGAGCTACAGGAGGGTCGCGAGCGCAGGAGCGTCGCTGTGGCCGTGCTCGAACCCCCAGCCACTCTCTGTGGAGACTCCAGCTTGATCTCAATCTGATTCTTGCGTGGCCCGGTCGAGATGTTCTGGATGTTGTACTGGCTGAAGGAGGACGAGCAGGAGGAAGGCGAGGGTATGGGGGGGGCCTGGGTGCTGGTGGGCGAGCTGATGGGCATGTACACATGTGAGGTCTGATGCTGGCCGCCGCTCCAGGAGCTCTGGGAAGCTGCAGGGTGGCTGATCTGGTAGATCTGCTGTGTGGGCTGCGAGGTGGGGCTGTACTGAGCGCGGCCGGGGGCCTGTCGCGTGGAGCCCGGCTGGGTCACGTACGGCCGGATGTAGATGGAGTTTGGGCTGTTCAGACCCGACTGAGGCCCTCCATGGATGTGCAGGGAGGTCGGTGTGCTGCGGCCGGTGTTCGGCGCAAGCGTCACCGTGATTGGGTTGAAGCGCGGGGTTGGAGGCGGTCCGTGACCTTTGCCCCCGACCTGGTAAAGGCCCAGGTGCTGAGGAGGCTGCGGCTTGCGAGTGGACTCCATGGCGAAGGCACTGAGGCTCGTGGGATTGTGTGTCGGCGCAGACGGCGTCTCGGGCTGGGGAGGAGGCACGTTTAAAGGCCCATCGCTCACACTGGGGGGGACAGTCCTGCTGCCATTCATCCTCACTACATCTCGCTGCACTGCACCATGGGTATTCTGAGACACGCCGAGGTTGAGCTGGGTCATGTGATTGCGAAGATCTGTCAAACTCTGGCTGCCTTCACTATACAAGAAACCAGGACTCACTTTGGTCAGGTACTCGCAACATGCAGCTAAATCATTCTTATTCTGGGGAGAGAAGAGAGAGAGACAAGTCTGTCAGCTACAGATATAGATATACAGTATATATGAGGGTTTTTGTAGAGGCAAGCAGAACACGGCTGTAGGCTTGTCGCAATAATCAATATATCGACTAATTTTTGGTGACGCAATATATCGACCATTATATTTACATAAGAATTAATGTCACCATGTTTTGTACATTCCACTTGCGCCTGGGTCTTTTGCAGCTTCTGGTACATAACGTGGTGTAGTCATGAGTAGTGTTGCTTTCGTCAACGAAAATTATGACTAAATATCGTCGTCAACGAACCTTTATTACGTGACGAAAACGAGACGAGACGAGACGAAAATGCTGGTCATGTGACGATGACTATAATTAAATGTATAATGCAATATCGTTGACGAATAAAAACGAGACTAAATGTGGTTTACAAAATAAAAACTATGCTAAAATGTCTCTTCATTTTCGTTGACCAAAATGAGACGAAACTAAATGTTATAACGTTATTTTGTCTCGTTATTATTATTATTTTGCAGTATTTGTTTCCTGTGTGTCGCTTCAGGGGCTGCATCAGGGCGCACTGCGCAGACGCAGGCGACACTCGGGGTGCCGCGTCTGTCGAGAGCAGCTATTATATAATATCCATTTCTTAAAACAGGCCGCCAAAAACAACACTAGTCATGAGGTGCTAATTCAAAATTAAAAAATGCTTCTACAAACAAAGTTTCATCTGCAGATATGGCCTTGTTTAGGGATCT